TATATCACCGCTACTACCCCATTACCAAGACCAGCATAGGAGTAACCACCATATTCCCTAAGGTGGTATTATCATCCCAAAGTGGGCAAAGGTTCTCTCATAGATCTTACTAGGTTTAGTTTCAAAGGTTGCAATCACGAAGGGACCTGTCTACCTATTCGTTGGGCATTCTGCCCATCGACCCGTCCGTCCATCCATCAGTTCATCCATGGGCCGGGGTCTTCTACCCGCACACCCATGCTTCCCTATAGGCATGTGCATGTCCTCATTCTGTTGTATTCTTGTCCAGCTGCCACTGTACAAGCCCAATGTAATTGTAGGAAAGAAACACGGTGCCCACGTGCACAATTTGGAGGGTCATGTGCTTCGTGACAGCGTGAATAAGGGGCTCATTGAGACTATAAAGCAACTCAACAACGAAAAGACTGGGCTTTCGTACTTCCACTGCAACAAACTTGTGGCCATGCATAGCATCCACGTGCGACAAGCGCGACTACCCAGTTGCGCGGAAGCACGTGCCAACATCGTCCATGGAAGGATTGTGGGGATGAACGTTCTGAATTTGCCAGGAACTTACGAAGCACTCGATTCTGTTGAAGATCTGAAGCTGAGTTCTGTTGCAGACGCACATGCGTGCATACGGTAAACTGTACCCTGACATGTCTTTCTGCATGCACACTCTCTCTTGACATGCCGTCTATGTTGCAAAGAAGTTCCCAGAGAGACTCGCACTGTAGACGTATGAACCATCAAGTCGCGTGAGCTTGTCTGGCTGCTCAGGGAAGAACACCGCGGCGTGGAAGGAGGCAATTTCCTTCTTTGGCCAGCTTGTCACTGAGCTGAGCCCTGCTACTGCAGACCAGATTACATGCACTGACCCTGAATACGTACTACATACCCCAGGCCCTAAACCGTATTAAGTCCTCGTTGATTAGGTCATCGTGCTCCGGCCTCGTAAGAGAGAAACTTGCCGGAAGAGAGCCACTCCTTTGATTCACGAGACAAGCGGTCTTGAACGATGCTTACTCTAAACTACTGCTACTAAAGCTACTACTAGCCGACAACGGTTTCGGGATTCGGGTTAGGGACAAAGTTTAGGGTTAAGGGTATCAGACTGAATCGGATCATCTCTTTGTCATAAGCCCCTCTTCTTGTAATTGGCGGTTGTCAAGGATAACATCAGACCATAGGCGGCCACTTGCAAGTGCGACGGCAAAAGATGCTAGAAGAGATAGGCGTTCTGCAGCTGAACCAAAGCTGCGGTCCCTGAGTCCAAGCGGTGACTTCCAATCAGCCAAAGCTCCAAGCGCAAAGACTCTTCCAACGAGCTCTCCCGAATCATCTCAAGCAGCACAGTTTCAAAGGCCTGAGCCATCAGAGTACCAACCTCAGCTGGGAGGTAGGTATCATCTTCTTGGTTCGAAGTCTGTCACTCCCGTTGTATGAATCCATAGAGGCTTCTGGGACATGTGTATAGGCTGGGTTAGAAAGGGGTGCATGTACATGTATGCACACATGCACACACCTAATTCTTCATGTAAACACACGTATATGGACATGTCTGTATGCATGTATGTATGCATGTAGGTAGGAAAGTAGCTGCTTATAAACTAATAAATACATATAAATAAATAAATACATATATATATATGCATATGTACATACATGTGTGCTGTGTACATGTGCGCGCGCAGCTGTTGCTTTTAGTGTCGCTGCACCAGACATGAGCGATGCTATCAAACTTTGCTCCCGTGCTCCCTGGCAAGCTTTAAACAGACTTGGGCGTCCATCTGCGCCGAACGAAAACTATGCTCTAGATGCTAAGGTCCAAAACATTACACTCTAAGCTCAAACCAGCACGAACGCTGATGAGTAAAGCATTCCAAGGGCAAGAACCAGAAGCAGAGTCCAATGCACAAATACAGTCAACGTCTTAAGCCGACCTCAACACAGAATCCCAGAGTCTAATTAAGTTCTCAACTGTGTAACAACTCCTTCATAGCACCTCATAAAACCACACGTGTGCTATGTCCCCAAGCTAATTGTCGTTGCTTAAACCACATCTCCCACACTAACAGGCACTGGCAGCCCACGTGCTCCGCAAGACCAGCGCGCGCAGGGCCAAGTGCTTTGCCTCTGGTTGCGACCCGTGAAGGAAAAGGCTCGGAAATCAAAGCTTCGCAGCTCAAAGTACGGCATCTGAACTGCGACTGACAGTCTTCTGCGTGTGTCTTGGTTCCCCAGTTTGACATACATGCATGCGGCTCGAGTACATGTACATGTAGATAATAAATACGCATGTGCACGAGTACATGCTATCGTGGTTTGGTTTGGAGATATTTGGAGCCGCTTAAGGCTTAAGACCCTTACTGTTACAAGTCCAGTTTCATGCGGGAACTAAAGGTTAACCTTTGGGATTATACAGCGGTTATAGTACCGAAACAAGGTCAAAGGTCACCTACTCTACAACAAAGGACTCGTGGGCGCCAGGGACGCTTTTGAGTCGTCACCGTATATCCATTGTATGCGGTGAAGCTAGCTTGGCTGGATGCCCGTGAACGAGCAGAAAGAACCTGACCCACAAAGTACTAACATGACACGTCGAGTCCCCGGTTCAGTGAAACTCGACTGTTAACTTAAAAGAACCTGCGTTCTCATGTTCATGCATACACCGAGAGACATGTACACGTCCATCCATGCAGGCAGACATACATGCATGCATTGCATGCACTGAATGCATCGCATGCATGTATGCAGTGAAAACAAAAAAGCCTACAATTCGAGGATCCCTTGCAACCATGCCGCTAACGAGAGTTCATGAAGACACAGCCTCCAATGCCGCGATATGCCATAAAAGCACACCTAACCCCTCAATAGTAGGTAGACTAATGGCCCAACACCTCTAAAGGGCTACTATGCTACATACTTTTGGGGCTCAGGCACTACGGCAACAGTCGAAGCTGAAGGCAGCCCTGCCTCGGCAATAGGAGGTCGGTATCGTCCGCGCAGCCCCACAGCATGAGGACGCACATGCGGCACAGCCACGCCGGCCTGGGATTCGGGTTTCGGTTTAGCCAGAGGGATCTCAACTTCAGGGATTTTGGGGACAACCCAAAGCCTGATGGGCAGTGTCTCTTGCAAGGCATCTCTTCATCTGCAGGGGGCGCTTGTACATCGTTTTTACACCCCTTTCGAGAGCTCATTACACCAAAGATTACACTATAGCTTGGAAAGCTGATGCTCTGGAGGCAGCACGCGTTCTATGCGCCGACCAGTACCTAGTCTCATGGACAAGCAGCCATCGCCAACATCCAGGCGCTCTGCAGAGCAGACGATGATACCTTGACATCACCGGCCACTGTGAGCTCTAACCATGCAGCAACCGCTGGCAGCAAAACATGTCGCCTCTCCATTACATGGCATTGCAGCAGCTCTTGTGCATCTGCCAAATACACTACAGGGGTGAATTGCCGAGATGCCACTAGATCCAGCGTGGAAGACAGCACTGTCTGCCGAAAGGCCTGTAGCACCACATGCATCTGGGATGGCGTAGTGTCAAAGAGAAGCGGGCCACTGTAGTAGTGCAGCATGGGCAGCTGTGGGTACGACTCGGGCCAAAGAGAGCGTAGAAGTGAGCAGAAAAGAAACGGTCGCGTGCAAAGAATGAGATCTGCCCGCATCAACTCCCGGCCATCACCACTGGGGCTCTGTAGGAAACTGCGCAGTCTCTCCAGGAGCCGCTGGTAGTTGACCTCGTTGAGGCCGTCGTCTGTCTCAGCCCAATCCTGCTGATACTCCCGAAATATCAGTGCCAATGGCTCCTGATGTGCTGCAACATTTGCTGCAACTCGCACAAAAGAGTATTGTGGATTTGCACAAATTCTGCCGGACGTTCAGTTTAAAACCTGAAGCCATTTTATCAAGTCTTATCATTCAAGGGGATGAAGCCCTGAAGACCTAGACACCTCAAAGATCCTGCCTTCTGGCAGCATTCTTGTCTCCAACCGAAGCTCCTCGCAGTTGCCCACGTTCTGACACCAGGCCCAGTGCCCGAAGTAGGACAACTTGACCTCCGCAAGGTCATCAGGCACATAGGGCTCGTGGTAGCAACAGGAATACGTGTGTGCGTGTGTACAATGGTGTATCTTTGGATAAGTGCGTACGGTCTTCGATGCACGAAAAAATATCATGTCTACCTGCGCAAGACTGCGCAGGGAGTACATCTGTAGATGTGTATGTATGTATGTATG